AAACAGACTCCAACAACGTCGACAAAAAAGAGGGTGACTGCCATTTGTGTATCATAACACTGTTTTTAGCACTATATTTTATAACTACATATTCTCATACTCTCCGTTTCTTTCTGAACCACATCCGCTTGTCAGTTGTTTATCCACTCATACCTTGTCTACACTTGTTTTCTTTAAATTATTAGGATGCTCCTGCTTAATAAATACTTAAATAAAGGAGAATTAGACTTAGTAATCATACCTTAACCATTTCTTCATGAACATTGTATGCTCTGCTTCTCGTCTTTTTTTTCTTGCACCATTTTTTGGCCCCCTTGAAATACGGAACGGGTGACCTCGTCCTGCACCATCCTTGAAGCCTCAAATATTCCAAAGGGATATAAGATTGCGATTTCTAGAAGCCCTCAACTGCACATGAATCGATTATCGACCATCTGTTGCACGTCGCAACGCAACTCTCATGAAGCGCGCCAACTGTGATACTGACTAAAACCATCTACATTCATATCTTATAAATTATCGACCCAGCTGAGTAATTTACTACATTAGGAAATTGTAACGTTTGTAACAATTTGATGTTGCCTGAAAACTGGCATGCTTCATGTAACAAAATGTTATTAGAGAATAAATTATTATTATTATAAACTGAGTGTTCTTTTCACTCGCTAAGATCGCTAGAACTTCAAAACAAGCAAACACTCATGGCAATCTTCTTATTGTGCCCTCGTTTTCGGCATGACATATACTTCTGGTTATTTTGTGAAGGCAACGACAACAACCAAGTATCTTATGCCCTGTACTGGTCCGGCAAAATCAGTAGGTTTTCTTTGCCAAGGTCAGTCCGGTTTTGGTTATGGTTTAGCTTTAGTTGAATTTTTCGCAGCCTCTAGACAGGACCGACAACTGTGACATTTTTGTTCTATATCATGGTCCATTGACGGCCAGCATGTATAGCTCCGATGTATTGACTTCATTTTACTTATTTCCGGGTGCCATCTATGGAACAGATTAAGAACTTGGTGGGCATGTGCCTGTCCAAAATCCGTTGACGGTTGATACTTTATCTTGAAATCATATCCCAGCAATGTAGTTGCCCATCGTTGTAGATGATATTCTGCATATACAAGGATACATTTCTGCAGTCAACTCCACCTGCAACTCTCTTGAGTTACTGCCGGTCCCAAGCACGGATAAAGTAGAAGGGTTGGGTATGGGGTTAGCGTCCATATTCCGTAGAAAACTAACTCGCTAAAAAAACGCTAATCAGAAAAAATAACTCAAACCATTTAAACTCTGCCCTGAGAGTTAGAAGGTCTTCAGTTAAAAGAAGTATGACGCCTCATGGCGAAAACCGAGTTCCTTCGGAAGCCACAAGGTCGATACCCCTTCTAACATCCAGAGGAACAATTTTTATAGGTACACGCAACGTCCGGACAATGTGGGAAACCGGGAAGACCAGTCAAATAGCAACGGAAATGAGGAGATGCAAATTGGCGGTACTGGAAATCAGAGAAACTCATTGGACCCAAGCTGGACAACAAAAGCTAGATACTAGGGAAATGCTTTTATACTCCGGTCACAAAGAGGAAAATGCTCCACACACTCAGGGAGTTGCTCTAATGCTGTCCAACATACAACAAAATGCACTTGTAGGATGGGAATCCCACGGATCCAGAATCATCAAAGCATCACTCAAAACAAAGAAGGAGGGGATCACAATGAACATTATTCAATGTTATGCACCCACCAATTCTGATGGGAGATCTAAACGCCAAAGTCGGAATGGACAACACCGGATATGAAGACATCATGGGACTACATGGACTGGGAGAGAGAAACGAAAACGGGGAAAGATTTGCAAATCTGTGTGCATTCAATAAATTGGTCATAGGCGGTACAACATTTCCACACAAACGTATACACAAAGCTACATGGATCTCACCGGACCACACCACAGAGAACCAAATAAATCATCTTTGCATCAATAAAAAATTCCGAAGGACAATGGAAGATGTGAAAACCAGGAGAGGAACTGACATAGCTTCAGATCACTACATGGTTGTGGCCAATTTAAAACTGAAGCTAAAGGAGAACTGGACAACTGGACAAACAGCACCACAAAGGTTCAATACAGCCTTCCTTCGAGATACTGACAAACTCAATGAATTCAAGGTAGCTCTCAACAACAGGTTCCAAGCCTTACAGGATCTACTGAAAGGAAGAAGAAACTACTATGGAGGATAACTGGAAAGGTATCAAATAAGCATTAACTTGAACGTGTGAAGAGGTTCTGGGCCCCAAGAAGCATCATCACAAGGAATGGATCTCTATAGAAACACTGGGCAGGATCAATGAAAGGAAGAACAAAAAGACAGCAATTAACAATAGTCGAACACGAGCAGAGAAAGTCCAAGCAAAAGCTGAATACATAGAATCAAACAAGCAAGTGAAGGAGAGCATAAAGACCGACAGGCAGAAATACGTGGAAGAACTAGCAATGACGGCGAAAAAGCTGCAAGAGAAGGAAATATGAAACAGCTTCGTGATACAACGAAGAAACTAGCAGGGGAATATAGTGAACCAGAGAGACTGGTCAGGGACAAAGAAGGCAGGCCAATCACCGAAATTCAACAACAGCGCAACAGATGGGTAGAGTACTTCGATGAAACTCCTGAATAGACCGGCTCCAATGAATCCACCGGACATCGAAGCAGCACACACAGACCTTCCTATATATGTCAATCCACCAACGACCGAAGAAATCAGAATGGCCGTCAGACAAATCAAGAGTGGGAAAGCAGCAGGATCTGGAACTCATACGACGGACTACAGTGCAAGGTCGTGCATGGAGGACAGCTGTCAAATTCATTCCAAGTAAGGACCAGAGTAAGACAAGGCTGTCTACTCTCCCCCTTCCTGTTTCTTCTGGTTGTTGACTGGATTATGAAGACCTCGACACCTGAGGGAAACACGGCATACAGTGAACAGCTCAGAACCAATTAGACGATTTGAACTTTTCAGATGACCTAGTTCTTCTATCACATACACACGAGCAAATGCAGATAAAGACAGCCAGTGTAGCAGCAGTCTGTGCATCAGTAGGCCTCAACATACACAAGGGAAAAACCAAGGTCCTCAAATACAACATGGAGAACAGCAATCCAATTCTGGAAGATGTAGAATCCTTCTTATACCTGGGAAGCATCATCGATGAACAAGGAGGGTCAGATGCAGACGTAAAGGCGAGGATTGGCAAAGCATGGACAGTATTCCTTCAATTAAAGAACATATGAAATTCAAAACAACTTTCAACCAATATCAAAGTCAGAATCTTCAATACGAACGTCGAGGCAATTCTACTTCCAGCGGAAGAGGAAATTAGGAAAAGACGATGGAAATGGATAGGACATACATTGGGCAAATAATCAAACTTCATTACGAGACAATCGCTAACTTGGAATCCTAAAGGGAAGAAGAAAAGAGAAAGACCAAAGAACACATTACGTCGGGAAATAAAAGCGGATATGAAAGAGATGGATAAGAACTGGAAATGGTTGCCCAGGACAGGGTTGGATGGAGAATACTGGTAAGCGGCCTATGCTTCTTCACGAGGAGTAACAGGCGTAAGTTAGTAGGTAAGTAAGTTTATTCGGTCCAAAAACTGTCAGTAACGGTTTATGATCTGTTAGTAAGGTGAATCGTCTGTCAAATAGGATCTTGTGGAACGCTTTTTCTGCAAATATAATGGAGAGGGCTTCTTTCTCTACCTGATTGTAGTCCTTGCTGTCATAATCAGCTATCTTACAGCAAGGTGATTGCCTCCCCAGACCCTTCAGGGTATTTATGTTGAATTACTGCTTCGATTCAGTTGTTCGACGCATCTGCTGAGACCGCAATTGGAAGATTCGGTTCTCAAAGGAGCTGTTTTAGTCTAAGGGAATGCTTCTTGGCATTCTGTTCACCAGAATCATTTGATATCCATTTTCAGCAACTAATTCAAAAGGGCACGGAGGCGATGCAGATCTGGAAGAAAACCGCTATGATGAATAATCATTTCCAAGAAAGAACGCAAAGTCGATACATTATTCAGTGGAAGTATGGAGTAGTAGCCTCGACGTTTTCAGGATCAGGTTCTCTTCCATAATTATCGATTATGAATCCTAAACAGCAGATTTGCTCCATGAAGAAATCACCTTTTTCAGCACGTAATCTGAACGCATAATCTGCTCTGCGTTGTGCAGATGATAATGGACTTGACTATAATACATCGAAGTGTAAGTTAGTCCATCTGAAACATGTTGCAGAATACAATTACAACTTAGACAACTTTCCAAAAGAACTATAAGTTGAAAAAGATCTAGGAGTGTTCGTATCTTATGATATGAGGTCTTACGCCAACTGAGATGAAAATTCCCTCAGTGCAACCTTGCACTAGAAACGTTGAAACGCATTTTCGGCTAGTTCGATGGAAGAACTTTCCACATAATCTTCAACAGTTTTATTTATCTTCATTTAGAGTACGAAAACAGTATTCCCTCCTACACTCCAAAAGAATAAAGACACATTGGAACATATCCAACGGCAAACCACGAATCAGTTCGTGGTGTCAAATTCAAGGCTTGTGAAGGGCGCCTACAATCACTGAACCTTTACCTATTAGAGTACAGGCATCTTTGAGGTGACCTTTTAATCGATTACAGCATCCTAAATACTTCTGAATAGTCCCTTAAACACCTACTTAAGCTTAGTCTAAACACAAACCTTTGGCTAACACTCAGAAAATAGGAACATGATAGGACAGAATAGACTTTAGACACACCTACTCCTTAAGAACAGTCAAATGCTGGGCTGGGCTAGCCCAAGTGATTACCCAGGAGTCCTCTGAGAAGAAACATGACATATTCTTAAGGACTGAGGATAGTGTTTTACTGTGATTTACCAACAATTTATCGTTTTGCTCATTTATCGGTAATGTATGGATGCTATTGTACATCGGATTACAGAATTTTATGAATGTAACGTTACACCCCGTGTCATTCTGGTTGAATTAGAATGCTGCAGTAAGACTTATTTTTCTCATCTTTTACGTTAATCATATCTAATTAGGGGAGCTTCTGCTCGATTTAAGAGGTCTCTGATTATACGTTTATACAGAAAACGAATTCACTGTAGTGTTAACGGCTTACATCTCGACCCTATCTCCCAATTTTGGGGAAGCCGTTACAGAAAACTTTAGGGAAATGGCACCAAGACCCCAAAATTTCCCCTTAACACTAGTGAAGGTCATTTGACTTTGGGGATTTCCCCAAAATTTCCCCGAACGTGAGAGATTGGTGAAATGCAGTTGCATTCGGGAAAACCCCTAAATCACCCAGTTTCCCCAAATTAGAAAGATTGGGTTATTGTAACTCGTGGTATGTTTTGAAAGTTTGCTCGGAAAACAGTAATAACCTAGTTTATGGTAATAAGCTCAAGCAAGTTTCAATATCTGTAGTTCAGAACACATTGTCTGGTTTCTCCAATATCTATGTCACGGATCCACACTTAATCAGTTGGCAATCAATGTCAGTAAGTATGGTATGTGCTTTGCACCTTCGAAGTGCAATTTATTTCTACAAGACTGGCAGGAATCTAATCCTGTACTCACCCTGGATGGTGAGCAGATAAAAGTAGTCGAGAAGTTCGTGTCTTGGACATCTTTGGCGCCTTCATGATGTCAGTCTGGCTGTAAAAGGTCGGATCTACAACGCGTCGGTGAGAGCAGTTTTGCTCTATGCTTGTGAAGCCTGGTCTCTATGAGTTGAGGATGTTAGACGACTCTGTGTTCGATCAGCGTTGTCTCCGAAGGATTGCTGACATTCAGTGGCAACACCATGTTAGTAATGCAGAGGTTCGACATCGTATGTTCGGACACAGAGACGATAATGCAATTGGTGTCATCATCTTGAAACACCAACTTCGGTGGCTTGGACATGTTCTACGAATGTCGTCCCAGAGAATTCCTCGCCGTGCATTATTTGCCGACTCTGGGACTGGTTGGAAAAGGCCGAGAGGTGGTCAGTATATGACATGGTGTCGTGGTATGAAAGAAAGCTGCAAAGGGATGGCTTCTGTTTGTCCTTCAAGACTCCCTGGCTGGGGTCCGAGAGATAGTGTAACATAGTGACTAGAGACGTTATCAGATATGGCTCCGAATAGAAGCCAGTGGTGATCCTGCTGTAACCTTTTACTTTCTTCATAAAAAGCGGTTGTATCTTCCTTAACTGGAAGGATTCTTCTGGTTGTACCTTCCTATTTCCCCCATTATTATTATTATTATTATTATTATTACACCACCTTACATTAATCTGTGGTCGTTATCGTTCTTTCCTTATACACACCTTACCCTTTTTCTCCTGCCATTCTCATTGTTTTGTGTGGCGCATATATATTTGGTGTCCCCTTGTACCAATATTTATGTGTTCAAATAAAAAGAAATAAAACAAAAAAACTATGTCACGAGCTTGTATAAACCAATCTTCTTATTTCGGCACAGTTCCAGGTGTCCAGTAGGTGGTTATCAAGCCACTTGACTGATCTAATTCTAGCCATTTTGCTATCAAGTATTATGAGTTCTTTCCTGTATCATTGATCAACTTGAGACACTTGGTACACCGGTAAAAGATTTGCATTCCTGTCAATTAATTGGTACATTAATATAAATTATTTTGTTACATCAGTGCCAGAAAGTTATTAGGATTAAAAGTACCATTTCATTGAATTCATGTCTACTCGTCAATTATTATGTAACTAACGATTCTCATTCGTTTTCAGGTAAGCAGTGTATCAAGCCAAAAAGCAATAAATATTTAAAGTTTTGGCAGATATCTTTGTGCATGACGCAATGCTGTACTTAGTAGGACTGGGTTTAGGTTCCTTCTCAGATTTGACAATGAAGGGTTATGATGTACTCAAAAAGTGTGATTATGTGTACCTTGATAGTTACACTTCCATATTCTCTGGGGAAGAGTTCAAGGCATTGGATATCAATGGAAAATGCATACTTCCAGCCGATCGGGAATTCGTGGAGCAAAGCAGTGAAATTATAGATCGAGCGAAGAACCATGACGTCGCGTTTCTTGTCGTAGGTGATCCTTTAGGAGCAACTACACATAGTGGTTAGTGAGGAAGTGCTAATATTTTTTTCAGATATTATATTGAGAGCTGTAGAAAAAAATATATCTTACCAAATTATTCACAATGCGTCAGTTATAACTGCAGTCGGTTGTTGTGGTTTGCAGCTCTATAACTTTGGTGCGACTGTATCAATCCCTTTGTGGGACGAATTTGGTCATCCAGAAAGCTTTTATGACAAAATAATAATGAATATGAAAAGCGGATTTCATACTCTATGTTTGCTGGATATCAAGGTAAAGTAACTCTATTTGCATATGATACTCACTTCGTAACTGCTTGTCAGATACTCAAGTTTTTTAACTGATATTTCAAAATTAGTGACTTTTTGTAAATAAACAGATCCATTTTGTTACTGATTCATCACACATATTTTTCTGAATAACCACTTAGGTTAACATAAGTTCACCGTGTTTTCCCCCCCCCATCTTTGATCTAAGCATATTTTCCGGAAGCTCGCTTCTTGCGGTTTTGGTGAATCTAGCTAATCTCGCAAAACTAAAAGTGTACACATGGTTGTTAGCCTAGTGTGTTCATATAATACATAGTAGTTCTCAGAATGCTTTTTGGATCAACTAAAGTAAGGTATAAACCACTCTCTCACATTTTGGTGACTTCACTTCTGTACGTACGTACGAAGTTCCACGTTGTTACTGACTGACTGTTCAAGGAACTGAGTTGTTTAAATTTATATTTATTTAATTGAACACATAAACATCGGTACAAAGGGGTACCAATTACGTAGTACACATAATAATAATAATAGGGGCAGGAAAGGATTCTTACAATTAGAGAAGTCATTTTCACTTTTATGAAGAAAGTTATAACAATCGCCACTGGCTTCTATTTTAAACTATTCCTGATAGTCTGAAGCCACTGTGTTGCACCATCTCTAAGACTTCAACAAGGAAGTCGCGAAGAACCAACAGGAGCCAGTTCTGTACAGCTTTCATTCATACCACAACACTATGTCGAGCATTGACCTTTTCTTCGCGTTTTCCATCCGGTCTCAGCGTCAGAAAATAATGCATGATGTGGAACTCGCTGGGACAAAATTCGTTGATGTTTCAAGACGGTGACACTAACTGAAGTATCGTCACTGGGATCCAGCACACGTTGCCGAACATCAGCATTACTAATAAGGTGTTGCCACTGGATGTCAGCGATATGTCGGAGACAACGATGATCGAACAGAGAATCGTCTAACATTCTCGACTCAGAGAGACTAGGTTTCACAAGCACAGAAAAACTGCTCTCAAAGTGAGAAAAAATCTGTGTGAAAAGCTGTCTTCTCGTCAACGCTGTGACATATTGCATCTCGGATGAGGATGGGGTTTAACATCTCAAACCTGGACTCAGATTAATCACGTTGCGATCAGTTACCGCTGGTGTGGTTGTATACAAAACTGATACTTCTTTTGAAGTATTTATCCTGACTGATCATTGCCTTGTTTGCTCTAACCTTATCCTACATTTCAGTGGCCAACAAATTCATCGCCCTAAATGGGTTGATGTCAGCTAATTTAAAGGAAGCTGTACAGAACTAGCCTCTGCTGGTCTTGCGCGACTTCCTGGTTGAGGTCCCAGAGATGGTGCAACACAGTGGCTTCAGACTATCAGGAATAGCTCTCTAATTGTAAGAATCTTCCCCTGTTGTTTCTTTTCTAAATTAACTGCTCCTCCTAATATTATTACTATTATTTCACTGTCCTACAATAATTTCTGTTCATTGTTGAGCTTTTTTAGTGTACTCACCTTCCACTTTCTATTTCTTCACAAAGTCATTTTTGTTTTATGGTGGATACATAGTTGGTACTGCTTTGTGCCAATGAATAGACGACCGACGTCAACCGTTTTGTATCCTGAAATGTTAAACCAAACTGTAGCTATTAGGTGCAGTAACATGCGCTGATCTGTTCACGAGGCCTTCTATATTAAGGTCACGAATTTACATCGATATATATTCTACCAGAGTGCATAACTAGTATATTTTGTTAATTTGATGGCTAAACTTGGATTACTTTACCAACTGTTCGGGTTGACCAGATATTAAAGTTAATGAATAACAGTAGCATGTACAGAATTACCTTTTTGTGACTAATTATCTGACTTCACAATATGTAGATCGACCTCTTTTCTTTACATATTTCTGAAAATCGTTTCGTGATTAAATATCCAAACCAACTATTTGAACTTATCTAGGAAACAGGTACTAAAGATTCGGCTGTTGGTGAAACTATCTCGGAAGAAGAGGGGAATATTGTTCACTCACAATCCAGGAGATTGAACTGCTAGGCAGAACACTTTGGGCAACATTTCAACTGACCGTTACACACCACCTTTATGCAACCTGGATGGAAACTTGATACAAGTCCCCCATCTCTTATTGAAGCTGAAAAAGCTATAAGCAATCGAAGCGATAGGTGGAAGGTTTTGATTAAATAACACAAGATGTTTAAGCATAGTGGTCAACTTTTTGTAATCATACTAAGATTCCAGCTAGCATCTGAAAACTTAACGTAACCTTATCTGACTGGCCTCGATCACTTACCGTCTCAGTACATAAAAACAGGAATCTTCTTGTGTCAGTCAGAGGGATTGGTTTGGTGTCGAAAATACTAGCCTCAACAATACTCATGTAGAGCGAACCCGAGGAAAACAGGCCGGTTTCAAACCTAAACGTGAATGTGCAGACCGAACACATACCCTTCGGCAAATTCTGGAACGTACACACTTCCCGATGTCTGAATGTAGTTACATTCCGAGTCTTGGACGTAGTTAGACTCCGTTGGTCGTGAGGTTCTGTGGCAGTATCCGTCGAGTTACATCTAATGACAAACTGACAATGAGACCGACCTCCCCAAGTGGTGCCAGTCAGGGTTGTCTACCTTCTCAATCTTAATTTAACATGGTCATAAGACTTCTTTAAGAGACAAGGCTCTAACTTGATTTGCTAGGAGGTCCATTTTGTTGACTTAGAATACGTGTATGATGTGGTTCGGTTTGCTGAAGGTGCCGAGGAATCCAACCTTATGACCATGTTAAGCGAATATGCAGATATATTCAAGATGGGATTCTCTCCCTTTCAATGCGTAATGTTATTTCATGATTGGCCTGCGCCATCTGAATTAACGATGGTGTTGGCCGCTTCACTTTTCTTGGAAGTCTCAACAGCCCTGACAGTCTGGTATCTGAGGAATTCGGCCTAATTGTGTCGCCTATGGTGTAGGTGAGTAAATCAAAAGCCCTGACACACTACTTAGTTGTCCTTAAATGCATTTTATTTCACTTCGATACACGACAGGATTCATTTAAATGCACTGTGCAAACGATGTTGCTACTAACAATATGTAACGTCGCCATAAATTCCATCTAAATATCAATAAGTAATGCAACATTACATAAGGTGTTGTATGTCAAACATAATAACAAACAGTGAGCTAAAATCGTAGTGGGAAATCCCCAAAATCCAATCTAATTGATCCTAAGAGAAGCACGCTTAGAATTCATTTGAATGTTGACCATGAAGTATTTCTGAGTGCACACTGTTCCAATCCTGGTAGACTTAAGTGTCATGACCAAGCTAAATCCAAGTCAGGCCACAGACGCAATATCATAAGTATATGATGCTTCAATTAACATGACATTAATTCGCTAATCTGGTCAACATTTCCTTCCTTAGGTAAAGGAGCGTTCTTTGGAAAACATCCTACGTGACCGCAAAGTCTACGAACCCCCTCGCTTTATGTCTTGTTGTGAAGCTGTACATCAAATAGCGGACGTCAGTAATAGGAAAGAAGAGGATCAGCGGAGCAGAGGAAATATAGTTATGACATCCTGTATTGTAATTTGCTTATCCCGATTAGGATGTGATGACCAGAAAATCGTTGTTTCGACAATAAGTGACATCCATGAAGCCTACTTGGACTCAGGGGTAAAAGGTCTCGACTTTGGAAACCCACCGCATAGTATAATCATACCCGGGTTAATACACGAGCTCGAATCAGAATTCTTGGTTGCTCGATACCGGATCGGTGTCGAAAGTCAAAAATTCCTGCCAATATTTTACACTACACGAAGAAATACAGAAAATGTCCTCGAAATTTATCAGGATTCAATAAACATACACAACGAAATACTTCGCACCATGCAACATACGCTTGGTCACACTTAGTAATATATACCACTTATGTGATTATAAAATATCTTGTGCTCTATCCTAACTGTTGTGCTTTCTGTAGGGTATTGAACTTCTGTTTATTCTGCAGTGCAAGAGTCGAATGACTAAACCATCTGGCCCCCATTTATTCATGGTTTGAAAAGCGTCACAGATCTGCATGCAACCGAAACGCGACTTGATAGTTCCGCCTCAGCATAAACCCGTTTCGTCAGAGATCCATGTTCGACATTCTATAAATTAGTTTGTCGGACGATATCGAGTGACCTCTCTCACGTCACTAGGTATGTAAGTATTGTCCCTGTGTAGTTACTTCGAATAAAACTCATCAGCGATTTGTCAATAATAACGTTACAGAATACAAGCTACCCTATAGTTAGCCTATAAATGTTTTGCATCCCAAAATGCATTTGGTTGAACGTTTTAAGGATACTTACAATAAAGCTTGATACAGCCTTGTTACAAACCACCAGCGGAATATCACATGTCCATTGATAGGAAATTCGAAAAGTGTGGGGGCTTATAACTCAGAGGATCGGTTTATACTTCATCACTTACACACCACTAACAGAAAGCGGATACGCACTTTAAGACATGGGAAGAACACACGCTTTGTTGAAGATTATATATTGAATACCAAATGTACAGATGCTGGTGAATTGACCACTCGTAAAAAATTACCTGGAAAAACTGAGAAAGACCTGTGGAACTTCAACCGGTTGCATTTGGTTTTTCCGCAACAAAACCTTGTTTATTAAAGTTGATATTAGTATACAAGAATATGGAGAGCTATTGTTTGAGAAGGACCGGGCATTATTTCACTAACCTGCATCAGGAGGTAAAGTAACTGAAAATAAGAACAAGTCCTCGTAGTTTCGAAGCGCCGCACATATTTTAAGCAAACTTTCGCTTATGAAGATGACCGAGTCAAACTCGACGTTACTTGGTAGTAACGAAATATGGAATAACTACTGTTAAACATTCAGCCACGTGACTGTTGCGCAAAACAACACATCTGACTATCATTGGACGACGTAGCCTCCAGTCTAAGTTTTTAGACTACGACTTCTAAAATAAAAGTCCATCTCGAAAGGATCTGTTATTCGTTTTAAGGTAAGTGGCGGGACTGCTTAAGGCGTCTGCTCCTTAGACCTAACAGAATGTTGACTTCACCTTGATGTGTTAGCCACTTGGAATAATATGAACTGGTACTTTTTAAGTTTTTGATTTTCAAGGATAAACAGCTGCAATTACATCGCACCAATTAATTGCACTCCTTTGATTATCTTTACTAGTATTACATCCTGAACCAACAACTAAACTAACTATACTAAGCCCTCGAAACGGAAATAACGAACATAGTGAACTACAAGTGACAGTGCTCTGCAAATTTTTCAGCTAGTAAATCCTTATAAACAAACTGATCAAGGGCGATGTATTGTAATGCTAATCCCAGGTGCGAACTGACTAGGTTTAGGATTGCAATAAACTTACTGATCTATACTCAATCCAAAGTGTGCACTTCGGTGGTCTTGAGTGCTGATAAATATCGAGGAAACTATCACTTCCCCGTTTTCACACCGTTCAAAGGCTCCTCTACATGTACCTGAAAAGAAACCTGGGTTAGAGTTGGCCTTAGTCACCTGAGGGCATGAACGCAGCAGTCAAGGGACAACTTCATAAGGTCAGCTACACACGACCTTCTTTGATAGTTCTGGACAAGTTGAAACTTTGTCTTTGAAGACGAGAATCCGTCGGATAAAGTGTGTGCACATTTTAGGTCGACCGTTTGTAAACACATCCGCCCTTCGTGAGAAGCTAGCATCGGTTATTATGCAGATTGTCTGAGGAAAACACCTTACTGCCGTCACATCATTTAAGAATAGTAGTCACTAATACCGACTTGCGACGATAGTGAAAACTATACTTTTGTAACGGACGTGATACCACCTTGGTTAACAGGACACAACAAACTACTTCGACTTCCTTGCTTCGTAATCAATATTCAAGACAAAAGCCATTACTTGTTAAATGTCGGGACTCTTAGTATATTTCGAACAATCTTTCGTTAATCTAAATTTGACCGTTTAAACGTTCTATTTTTAAGTGGATTATCACCTATGATAAGCTGTGTAGATCACCTTACAAACAAAAACACGTTGATCTGCGAACCTTGTTGTAGTTTAATTTCTCAGTCCATGCGGCACCATGTCTTTACCCACATGACAATGAAATAAAACAATGCTACTTACCCCTATTCCCTATGACAAAAACCTACCTTTAAGCATCAATGTATGAATGCGCTGGGAGTTTTATGATCCATCTGAACTACGTGAAGTACTCGTGTAATGTACGATATACTGTGCTGACCTTTAAGTATCTGGATATTTTCCTATATTTAATCGTAAAAGCACCGCTCACCTTGCTATCCAAAACAGAATTTTTCACTGAGGAACCAGTGTACATCGGCGATCACATTATACTGGGCTGTTTAAAATAATGACCTACCAGATATATTTCATTAGTTTGACTTACATTGCTTCCAGCACACTTTAAAAGAAAACAAGAAACGCAAAGTAAGTTTGTTTACGATTAACATAGTTAAAGTTAAATGTACAACACATGATCAGTTAAAGTTCAGATCACAAGCTTTGGATAAACGTACGAACGACTGACTTGCGTTAGAACCGTAACTGTGGAATTCCAGCCCAGGGTGTAAGTTGACCTGGAGCAGGCGCGATTTGAGGTTGCATCGCCGGCAAACCAAAAGCTATAATATAAGAGAAAACATTGTAGTTTTAGGACTGACTAAAATTAATAGTGAATTTTAGGTCGTAGAGAGCTCATGTTCATTATGTGGAAAATTATGTGAATACAAGACATATCTACATGTAATTACCGTGAGTAATAGAACTGCACGTAAATCGGAACCAGTGAATGAATAATTAAACATCTTTATGAAAGCTATACAAGTTTCTTTGAGATGTCCTTTAAGTACTGTGTGGTAAATAAGCTAATAAATCGACTGAGACTTGCTGTCAGTCAGAACTTACTACGTACACATTGATGTCCCGTTTAGAAGGAGTGATACTACGTAAGTACATGTGGAGATTAACAATATTACACAGAAGACAATGGTCAAGTTTTACTTCATTAGGAAGTACTGCATTTTTGTCGTGAGACGGAATCCATATAGAAGACTCGAGACTTTACATAAGACAACATTCCTGTCTTTCACTCAAAGAACTTATTTCAAAGTTATGCGAAGACAATTAACAACAATGAATGATGTCGTACAACCATCCATAACTGCACGTAGATAACCCTACCATCACTCAAATTCACTGTTATAGGGAAGTTAAGAAATGTGAGACGGACTGATAGCTTTATCAGTATATAGAATTGTACTAATAGTTACACTGATATTGATGTAAAATGACTTTGATATTGTATGAAGGCTTATAAATTGGTTTTCGTCAATGTAAGGGTGATCAATGAAATTTGTGATAAGCACACAGATTCGAATCCTCAGATTTCAACAGACACTTCTCACATTAATTACCAATTTACAAATCTTTGAAAAAGAGCCACTAGTTCCAGTTTAACACGACACGAATATTGTACAACGTTAGAAAGTACGCTAAAATGCTTCAATGACATCACCTACCAGGTGGAGGGATAAATCCAGGTGCGTAAGCAAACGGCATCTGTACGGAGGCCGGGGGCACAATCGGAGGATACACAATTTGTGTGGGCTGTGGAGGTATGAAACTTGGAGTTGTTAATCCCAGAGTTATAGGAATAGAGGGAGGTAAAATCTTTTTTGCTGCATTCTCAACAATAGTTTTGTATCGCGGCAACTCAGCTCTTAGTTCCTCCTGAGATCATTAGGTGAGGTAAAAAAAATCGAACTCACCAGAGATAAATCTTCATCGGGATGAATTAACTCGATGACTACTCCATTAACTCCCGACGTGGGCTTCGGGACTTTAGACACGTTGGCTTTTACGTTGGACGATGGAGATGAATAGGCAGGAAAAGTAGCCTTTGGGGTAGTCGCGGGGGACTGTACAATAAAGCTTAAAAGTGAACTGTTACCTTTTCGTCATTTGGAGTAGCTGGCTGAGGAGGGGCGGGAGCTGCAGGAGGGGGAGGTGGTGGTGGTGGTGGTACATAAGGTACTGAACTACACAAATCAACTAGGATTAACAAAACCTACTTTAAATGTGGAGGTAAGCTGTGAACTAGATACGCGGAATTAGAATTAATTTTAACTTACGTCCAATATGACCGAAAGGTGCCATAGGTGGACACAAAGTCTGCATGAATGGCAGTGCAGGATGGATAGGTGGTGGTGGATAAAACGGAGCACTTTCATCTTCTTTAGCTAATTTCTCTGGTGGTTCGTCTTCACATTCTAACCCAAATTTCTGTCTTTCGTGTTCGATCATATCTACTTCTGGAATACCGGACATGCCGTATATATCAATGACAGTGCTTGTTCTGTTTGGCAAGGCATTTGGAATTTTATCCAGCTTCTCTTTGTGAACCTGATGTTTTAAGTAATGATGAATGTCGTGACTTACTTGGTTGCAATGAATTGACAAACCAGGACCGGTGAACAATTTTCTGTGACAGTAAGGACATTTGAAGTGTTTTGCTTTTTGATGTTGGATTAGAATCTTTTCGTCGTCAAACTCCCGATTGCAATACCTAGAAATTATCAGTGTTCCTAATCTCGCGTACCAACACCACGGCTTCAGCTGCTTCCTCTTCTTACGACCCATTTCCAACGCAACAACCGTACCGAATTGTCCGCCTCGAGACCGGAAGTGCAGGCTACGTAAACTATCTTCAATTAACAATTCTCAGACTTCAGTAGTAAGAATTGGATGTCTATCGACTTATATTAATCCCGGCAGTTTGTTACATTGTAGTGGTCCAGTACCGTGTTGAATATATCGACGGAAGGTGCTGATGTTACGTGTTCTGGCGGCGAATTCCAGTAGTTCATTACTCAGTGGGAAAAGAGGAAATTCAGACGAA